GACATGGCCGCCACCATGCCCGCGCTTTCGTAGGAGTTCTGACTGTCGCTTGGAGGAGATTTGGCCATCGCCGTCGTAGCCGGTGCCATAGGGGATACGACCGCCGGCAATAGATCTGGACCACGACAGCTTCCGTTGGGTGCTCCGGAGCGAACAGTAGCCGGCCGCCAACCACCCCTACTGCATCGAGGTGATCATCGCGGCCTCTTTGCCACCACGACTGTAAGGTGTTTTTGACACTTTGCCCACAAAGATATGGACAGTGGAGATGAATTTTTCTTCCACCACTTCATTTATTCATCGGACGATTCTTCCGCAGATGATAAAGATCTTGTGGTGGCTGCACTGGTCATTCACGACCACATTGAACGACAACTTCATTGGTACAGGGGATCAGTCCCTGGCCGTGCTCCCAACCTGAACCGCAACAGAGAGGGAACCCACGCCCTGCTCTATGTTGATTACTTTGCGAATACCCCGCTCTTCAAGCCGGATAAATCCCGTCGTCGTTTTTGTATGGCAAGGCATCTGTTCAATCGTATCCGATAGGGAGTGGTTGCTCATGACCCATACTTTGAGTGCAAGACGGATGACTTGGCAAGCTTGGATTCTCCTCTTACCAGAAATGCACCGCAGCCATCCGCATACTTGCATATGGAATTCCAGGCGATCTGGTGGATGCGTACGTGTGCATGAGTGAGTCGACGTGTCTGTTGTCACTGTACAACTTCTGCAAGGCCTGGTGGCAGTGTTTGGCCCTGAGTACTTGAGGCAGCCAAATGCGGCTGATACAGAAAGGTTGTTGGCGATCAACGCAACTAGAGGCTTTCCAGGCATGCTTGGCAGCATGGATTGTATGCAGTGAGAGTGGAAGAACTGTCCATTTGCTTGGCAGGGCCAGTACAAGGGGCATGTTAAAGCGTGCATCGTCATATTAGAAGCGGTGGCTTCGTAAGATCTTTGGATATGGCATTCTTTCTTCGGCATGATAGGTTCTCACAATGATATCAACGTGCTGCAGCGTTCTCCAGTCTTCGCAAGACTTGCAAAAGGCCACTCCTCACCTGTCAACTTTGAGATCAACGGCCACCAATACAACAAGGGATACTACCTAGCTGATGGTATATATTCTCAGTGGTCAATTTTTGTGAAGACAATCTTGAACCCCCAAGGTGAGAAGAGAAAGAGATTTGCCCAAATGCAAGAGAGTGCTAGAAAGGATGTGGAATGTGCTTTTGGTGTGCTTCAATCCCGATGGGGTATCGTTCGAAACCCTGCACTGACATGGGATGAAGGGAAGCTTTGGGAGGTGATGACTGCTTGTGTGAGCATGCACAACATGATCGTCGAGGACGAGCGTGATAACAACATCTTCGAGCAAGGATTTGATTTTCAATGTGAAAATGTTGAGCCCCTACACCAAGAACCAACCACGTTTGAACAGTTTGCCAAATTTCATCCTGAAATGCGTGATTGGCACACTCATTTGAATTTTCAAAATGACTTGGTTAAACACATGTGGAATCACATTGACAATCAATAGATGTATTGGTTCATTTATGTTCATTCAAGACAATTTTGATTTGATTGTAAAACTATTTTATTAGAGGCAATTTCGATTGGGTTGTTAAAACTATTTTTTTTTTCAGACAATTAATATTTGGACGTGCAAACTAGTTTTAAACATTGAAATATGTATATATGGGCATTTTTGGCCGTGGCGGACAAGATGAGGCCAAAGGATTCGTCCGTGTGTTGGGCGCACGGCCATCGCATCCCAGAACAGACCCAGACACAATCTCATTGCCCTACCCAAACGGACAGAATCCAGGCAAAACGGACGTCCTTTAAGGTCGTGCGTTGGAGTTGGACTTTTATTGCAAAAGCGGTTTGGGAAACTACTGGTAATGTTGTTGGGGCCTCTTGCGTGCCTAAGAATTTGTGGCAAAGTTTCACTTGGCTGTTTTCATATTTGCCGGGGGGAGTAAACTGTGCATGGTTGCTATTGCTGCTGTTTGTTGGGGGGTCTGGACAGTGAGGAACAAGATCGCCTTTGAGAATCATATAGTGAGATCCTCTACAAGTGTGGTTTTTACCGTGTGTTCGTTTCTGATGTATTGGTCAGGTCTCTTGAAAGATGCTGATGGGAAGGTGCTTCAGAAAGGAGTACAGGTCCTGATGGCCGAAGCTTCTTGGCTTGCTTCTTCGACTTCGCCCGTGTCTGAAGCTGGTGCATGATCAGTTTCTTCTCTCCCAAATACTGAAGACCGAAGCTTCTGGTGGCATCTTCACGTGTCTGGGGATGATGCATGTTGATGGCTTATCATATTGCTGTCTGCTAGTTTCCTGTTTGATGTTTGTGTCCGGCAGATTATGTCCTTTGTGCCTCATAACTTTAGATGCGTGGTTAACAGATTTTTGCCCTGTAGCTTAGTCCTGATTTCGAGCTCTTAGCAGCAGGTTTCCTGTTAGTGCCCCCGACTCGCTTCGTCTCTCTGTTTTTCTAGGTTTGCTACTGCTTGGACGGTGTTGGAAAAAGACTATATTTCTGTTAAGAAATGAATGGAAAGGGGCGAGGCTCGGTTGGAGAAAATTTTTGGGGAAAGATAGTGGTTTCTGGTCGTGATTTTGGGCAAAGTGAACAGACTCGATGTTGGAGGCAGGACTTTCTAGCAGAGAACTACATCTACCCTCCCTGTACAAAATAAGTGTCTGATTCACCGGAGGCAGGACTTGTTCTAGCAGAGGAGACTTGGTACAATTTTTTTGTTTTCCGGGGTGAGACTTGGTACAACTTAACGGAGGGAGTAGCAAGTACTAGTGTCTGGTCCCCCGACGCCTGCGTCGTCCGCCTGGGCAACACGGGTGGGCGACTAGGGTTGCCCCCGCGCCGCCATCCCCCATCCCTCGCTCTCCCTCGCCGCCACCTGAGGATATCGCCGGGCAATTTCCCGCGGACGCAGGGGAAGGTGGCGGCGAGGCCTCCGACGCTTCGTTCCTGGCGGAGGTTTTCGGATCTGGGGCGGCGGTCCTTCTTGGCGAGGCAATGGGGTCCTCTAGGCTGGAGCCGGTTGTGGGTGATTCTGGCCGGCTTGCTTGACCACGCAGGTGGTGAGCTGCCAATAGGGGCTGGCTGCGGCGCGGAGCTCCCCCTCCTCGCTCTATCTGAGGTCTGTCTCCCTCCTCTTTGACTCCCTCTGCACCGCCGTCTCCCGCTGCTAGTGTCCACTACTAGGGAAAAGTTTATACACAGAATATTAGCACGCGTTGGGTAAAATGAGGCATTGTGCTACTTAGTAGTAGCGCGTGTCAGTATGATGCGCTACTGCTATCCTTTCAGCAGCAGCGCGTTTTAGCGAAATGCGTTGCTGCTAAATTTGAACTGGGGCATAATGGCTAGCCCCACTTAGTAGCAGCGCGTATCCAGATACCGTACTACTGATATTCTCTGTAG